AACACCTAGAGGCCATTCTGCATTATTCAATTCAGTTCCTTGAGTTTCCGAAATTTGCAATTCGGTCCTTTTCTGCCTTTTGATCCCTGATTTTCGCAGTTTTAGAACCAAAAATTTGAGATTTCGACCGTCGCCCAGTAGGGGTATGAGGTCATCACACCAAAGTTTTTTCCAGTTGAATCACTTTGTTTTGTACTTAGGGTTCTAAATCATTTTTTTATCGTATTGTTATCCTTGACTTTCTATTAAATAGGACAGTTTGATCATTCATGATGGTTTCTGTCCAATTACTTTGCTTTCGTTCTTTAAAATTGAGTGAAAATATTTTTTTGCACTTTTATATTTATTTAAAAATATGAGTAAATCCAAACGAACTTTTTGAACAAATACATAATCAGATACAAGGTATCTTAATTTATGGAACGTTCAAAATAAGATTTCAACAAAAAAAAGTTAAGGATGTGACTCATATCATATGAGGACGCAATAATCAAAGATTGAGGACTTGCTAAAGCAATTATAATGTGATGCACATCACTACTATATAAAAAAGACACTTTGAAGTTATTGTAGATGCAATAGTAACCAATGAGATGTTAGTATTCATTTTTCCAATTTTTACTCATCCAGTCCTCCAATTTTATCCGGTATGTTAGTTGTATATACGGTATGTTAGTTACATATCCGGTAAGTTGCATATATGGTATATTGCATATCAGGTATGTTATATGTTATTTGCATATCCGGTTTATTAGTCGCATATACGGTATGTTAGTTGCATATTCGGTAAGTTGCATATACGGTTTTAGTTGCATATAAAGTATGTTAGTTGCATATCTGGTATGTTGCATATCCAGTATATTAGTTGCACATACGATATGTGGAGAATTATTTTTTGAACAATTCTATATTTATTATAATTCAATAATTTCAAAAATGCCTTACTTTTCATTTTTCAATATACATTTAATTATTTCAATAATATATTATTTTTTTTATTCAGTATGTATTTAATTTATTAATCATTTGAGCAATTTGAACAATATTATCATTAGTTATTTTGTCAATTATTTAGTTATGATGAATGTACATTTGATGCGTCATTTTTCAATATTTATTTGATTTATTTAATTATTTAAACAATATTATCATGAATTATGTTGTCAATTATTTAATTATGATCAATGTACATTTGACAAATTCATTCTACTTGATTAAATAGTAAATTAAATTATTTAAAAAACTTTTTATGGTGAGTTGCATATCCGGTACAGTATGTTAGTTGCATATTCGATAAGTTGCAAATACGATAAGTTGCATATCTGGTATATGTTGTAAATACGGTATTTGTTAAACTTACCGTGAGTGGAGAATTATTTTTTGAATGCTACTATTTTTATTATAATTCAATATTTTCAATAATACCTTATTTTTTCATTTTTCAATATACATTTAATTTTTTCAGTAATACACTACTTCTCGTTTTTTAATATGTATTTAATTTATTAATCATTTGAGCAATTTGAACAATATTATCATTAGTTATTTTGTCAATTATTTAGTTACGATGAATGTACATTTGACACGTCATTTTTCAATATGTATTTGATTTATTTAATTATTTGAACAATATTATCATGAATTATGTTGTCAATTATTTAGTTATGATCAATGTACATTTGAAAAATTCATTCTACTTGATTAAATAGTAAATTAAATTCATTGAAATTTTTTTCGGTAAGTTGCATATAAGGTATATTGCATATCCGGTACGATATGTTAGCTGTATATCCGATAAGTTGCATATCCTGTATATATGTTGTAAATTCGCTATTTGTTGAACTCACCGTAAGTGGAGAATTATTTTTTGAATGATTCTATCTTTATCATAATTAAATAATTTCAATAATACCTTACATTTCGTTTTTCAATATGTATTTAATTTATTAATCATTTGAACAATATTATTATTAGTTATTTTGTCAAGTATTTAGTTATGATGAATGAACATTTGATACGTCATTTTTCAATATGTATTTGATTTATTTATTTGAACAATATTATCATGAATTATGTTGTCAATTATTTAGTTATGATCAATGTACATTTGATAAATTCATTCTATTGATTAAATAGTAAATTAAATTCAATGAAATATTTTTCCGATAAGTTGCATATACGGTATGTTGCATATTCGGTATGTTATGTTAGATAGAGCATTAACGAGACAATAATATGCTTCCAAAACTCTTGAATAATCTAATAAATCTTTAACTACTTTTTTTTTTTTAACATCTACAATTTTTACAATAATAAAAATAGAACAAATACAAAATTCATGCAACGCACGTGTCAACGACTAGTATATAAAAAAAAGCCATGTTTCCAATATAATTAATTACGTGGAAATTAGATGGAGACTTGTTTTTTAAGTTCCAATTTCAAAAATCAAGTTTAAGGTTCGTTTATACAAAAATCAGGCAATGATTCCACATTTTAATATTAATAATAATATTATAAAATTAAACTAATTTTATATATCCACCCTATCTCCATCCACCTCATCAAATTTCATTCTCAAACCCCAAGTGATTATTCTCTTTGTATTTCAGTTTTGTGTTTTGAGTTTTGAATTCATTTTGGGTTTTGTGTTTTGAGTGTTCATTTTGAGATTGTTGAAAATGTGTTCTTTTTGACATTTTGTAAACACCCAAAACGGGTTTTGAAAATTTTTGCTTGATTATAACTGAAAACACTCAAAACGACAAATTTGTCATTTTGTGTTTTCTTTGTAAATTTTTAACTTATTTTTAAAAACGCATTTTAGAAAATAAGAAAGAGAACGCACTTTCACTATTTGAAAAATCGAAAATAGAAAAAGACTTGAAAATGGTAAAGAGAACAGACATAAATATTTCATCATTCTTCCCTCTTTATCTTTTCTCTCTCCCTTCTCTATACGCCACACTCTCTCTCTCCTAGTTTCACAACAGCGACTCGCAATGCTGAGCGTCGCTGTGAACGATGTCGCACGCAACACTACCATTTGCTACAGCGACACTGTCGTTCGTAGTAGCAGCATCGCGATTGGCTCGCTGCCATTCGCAGAAACGCCCGACGATGCGCCTAAAAGAAATTAGGTTTGGGTGTTGGTGGTGGTGGTGGTAGAATGGGATAAATAGTGTTTGTGATCAATTATTTAGGTGTTGTGACCAATAAATAATATATGATCTAAAAGAATGTGTTTTTGTTATTAAATTTCGCAATCTTGGTTCAAATCGGTACGTTGTAATCAACTTATTTGATTATTTGTGATTTAGAAATAACTTGTGACGAAATAATTTGATAATTTGTGATCGTTAAATAAGTTATGACCCATAAAATTAGTGATTTGTGACCTATAAATAAATAGTGACCAATTAATTAAATAATATGTGATCGATAAATAAGTTGTAACATATAAGTATGTAACTTAAATCATAAATTGTATAATTGTGACCTTAATATATTTAATTATTTATTTAATTAATAAAATTTAATTGCAACCTAATTTTTGAAATAATAAACCTAATTTCTTAATTTTAAAATTGTATTTTACAACTATTATATGTAATGTTCCCTATAATTACCCTAGTAGGAACCCCATTCTCTTCATAGTTTCATGGTCTCGGACAAATTTACACATGGTAGCACCACCACTTGCCCCCCACATCTCCACCACCAGAAAATTCTTTTTTTTTTTTTTTTCCTTTGTTCTTGATTATTTTTGTATTTGCCATGTTCTTCTTCCAACCACATACATTCTTCATCCGATGACCAACTTTCTTCAAAATTTAGCCCATGTTTGAGCCCATTCTTTAAAAATTCATTTTAAAACCACATTCTCCTAATAAAATAATTTTAACATATAAACCCAAATTTTTTTCTAATTTTTTAACCACGTATTCTGCAAAAAATCACCAGTACACAATCTATGGGGCTTAGACAAACCTAATTATTATTTCATTATCATTAGTGAGCTTTAAAAAGAGTTTCAGTAACTCAGTTAAACCATGCCACGTAAGACATTATCCAAAAATTTGTAAGAATGATAAAGATTGTGTTTTAACTGCCATAATTTTAAAAGGTCAGTCGATAATTAAACAATTTAAATTTGATGGTCAAAGTGAACTTTAGGGCAAAGTTGAGTGGTCATTTGTAAAATTAATCCACTTTGAAGGAAATGGGCCTAAAGTAATCTCTAATAGAAGAACTGAACGTGTAGCTCCAAAATGTGAATATTCGGGCCCACTAACATCTACCCGTGGGCCCAATGATTGCGAGATGCCGCCAGAAAGTGAGCAAAACGCACATCCAGCGCATTTTAGCAATGGCCATTTACGTCCACTCTACAGCTGATCTACCTCAGATGCGCATTTTTTTCCACTCTGACAACATCTTCTTCCCCATTAAAAAAGTAAATAAACAAAAATTATGATATTTCTAAATTTCGATTCTATTCTCTCGAAATTTGATCTTTCCGATTTTTTATAATATTGAATTTTGATGAGTTATTTAGCCGTCGGTGTTTATTTTTCAGAAAGCTTGAATCTTAAGGCATCTCAGGATGATAAGTGAGTTATTTGAGGTATGAATTTATAGGGTTTTTATTTTCTTGGAATTTAACTTTATTTTTCACCCCTGCTTTTTTGGTAATGATCTTGATAATTCATGTATTTTAAAGATACTGAATTTATACTTCGCTGTTTTAGGTTAGAAAATCCCCTTTGACACTAATTTTGGCGTTTGTGCTTAAGTAATGATGATCTGAAATTTTGTGGGTATTTAGGTGTTCCGGGTAGAAGACATCACTTAATTTTCGTCTGTATATGTGGAGAAAGTTGTATAATTGAAGGAAATAATCAAAGAACTTTGCTTTTTGCAAAACTAAGTTTGGAAATAAATTTAGAGATTGGGCATTAACACGGAGTGGTACGGTGGTTTCTTGGTCGTTGGGCGTGATGGATGATACTCGGGAAAATGATAGGTACCCGCCAAATCCTTATGGCATAAATGACCAAGAGTTTCCAGTTGGGAATGCCACTTATGTTAGTGATGAGGATGATGGTAATGATGTTGATGACGAAGATATGGAATATGAAGACGATGACGATGACCAGGATGAAGGTGGAGGGTCTAGTGTTCAGAGAATTAAAGATGATTATGCTGATGATGATGATGACGACGACGACGACGATGATGACGATGAGGATGATTACGGTAATTTACAGAGGCACCCGAAAAAGAGAAAACTGAAAAGCTTGTTGTCCAGTTACAAGTTTGCACCTCGGGTACCAGCACCATCATCTGCGACTCCTGCAGTGCCAAAGCCATCATATGGTGGACGGAATCCACATACAGATTGGACTGAGAGTGAGACTGTTATCTTACTGGATGCGTGGGGTGATAGGTTTCTCAAACATGGGAGGAAGAGCCTTCGGTCTGAAGAGTGGCAGGAAGTTTCTAAGAAGGTCTCCCAGGAGTCAAAAATTGAGAGAACAGATACTCAGTGTCGGAACCGTTTAGATACATTGAAGAAAAAATACAAGAAAGAGAAGATGAAGTTGGGAGAATCTGGGGGTTCCAGTAGCAAATGGGTGTATTTCAAGAAGATGGATATGTTGCTGTCATCAGGCCCACAGCAAGCAGGTCTATCATGTGGAGTGGACTCAGGAGAGTATACGTTCATGAACCCTAAAGTTTATCTGAATAGCTCAAACGGAATGGATGAGATGAGAGATAGCCCAGGGTATTCGGAATCCACCAAAGGTGAGGAAGGTGGTCCGGAGGGTCTCCTTCCTAAGAAAACAAGGAATGAAATGGGTAATGGAGTTTCTCTTAAATTGCTTGCTGATTCCATCCAGAAATTTAGCGACATTTATGAGAAGATTGAGAACAGTAAGAGACAACAAATGCTGGAACTGGAGAAAATGAGGATGGACTTCCATAGAGATTTGGAACTGCAGAAGAGGCAGATTCTAGAGAGAGCTCAAGCTGAGATTGTGAAAATACGACGAGGTGATGAAGATAATGACGTGTCTGCTGAGAACGTCAGCGGTTAATGTATCTTGTCGTCATTGTATTATATCCAGGGCATTATCCCGGGATATAGTGCTGTGTGTGGATTATTGGATGCTGGCAGTTGTACTATATCCAGGGTGTTAACCCTATTGGTCCTATATCTGCAAGGCAATAATACTGATATGATTAGAACATTTATTAAAGTCATAGTAATTAAACTTTTTCTGAATTCATTCCCCTTTAAAATGACGTCATGTTAATTGTTATTCTTGTGGAAGGATTTCTTGTTTGTTGAATTCTTTTGTCATTTTCATCATAAAGTTTGCTGTTGACTGGTAGTTGTTATGAACTCTAGTAATCTTTGCATGTAGATTGACCAGACAAGCACAAGTAAGTTGCTGTTTTTTTGTTTTTTTTAATTTAAGATACCAATTTTGCTGCTTATGTGGTGTTTACTTTAAACTTCCATTTAAGTTGAAACCAATAAGGAGGATACCTAAGATGCCGAATCCAGCTTTAGTAATTCCTAATATATTTTTCTGTGTCATCTTGATTGTTCTATTTCATCTATTTGCGTAAGAGCATTCTTCTGCAGCTGAAGTCACGTATTTCTTATTTTGGTATGACACTTTGGCTCCAGCACGCTCTTAGATAGGCATGTTTGGATTCTGCATTCAAATAATTTTTCACTTGATGCTTCCACCCCATGCTTCTGCTCTATCTAGTGGTCAGCCTAACATCAGGTATGCTAGAATGTGATCTTCAATATGAAGTAACATAGCTCATAAGTTCTAAGGTTTATTCTGTGGTCACATGAGAAGTATATACCTTAATTTGGAAGGTTTATCATTGTGTATGTAGAATTATTGTCGTGTTGTTATAATTTAATGTGATTGGTCGCAAGATTGTTGTCCCTTTGCTTTCCTTATAATACGTCGTTGCCCCTTTGCTTTCCCTATAATACGTCGTTGCCCATTTGCTTTCCCTATAATATGTCGAAATATGGAAGGGAAAAGAAAGTGCAGTTATCCATTTTGCTGTTAACTGAAGTAGCTGCTACCGGCAGAAGATCTTCCTAGAACTATGAATAGTGATCATATAGAGGAGGGAGGGATTCTCCAGGAGCGTCGAGCGAGGGGGAAAAGTGGCAAATTTATTTGAGAATTTTCCTATCGAGGTAAGTAGTATATATGGTTGAAATGTTAAGTTACTTAAAATTAAGTTCGAAGCTTAGACATACCTGTTTTATGAGTACGCTGCACTCAAGATGATAACTGCTATTCCATATTGGATCTTGGTCTCAGATTCTGGTCTTTGAAAACAAGCAATCCATGCCACTAGCCTACTACTTACGATTCTGCAACTACACGTACCATTTTGCCATCATCTTAGGATCATTTTTGGAACAATCCCCTTAGGGCCACTGAGGTGAGTATTCAGCCGTAAACTTCAGGGCCTCGTGAAATTAGTCGAAGTGCATTCAAGCTAGTCCAGACATCTATGGTTATAAAAAAAATTTGGGATTATGGAACTTTATCAGTAGGCATCAAAACGCAGTTTATCAAACCAATTCAAGCTCTAAACAAAAGAATATAAAACTCGCAAACTGTCCTTGATACGACTCTTGTGTTACCGTAGTTTGTGGTTTAAGAATTTGCCACAAAGTACATATCTATGAACAATCTTTTTCCACTTATTTGAATCCTTGTCTACTAGTTTTTGGATTTTATGTTCATTAGTATTGAACAATGGTTTTTGACATGCACTGACACGAACAAAGATGTCGGTCACTAACTGGTTTAACCGATTTAATCGGTGATTTAACGTATCAACTCTTTTAAAATGTCAACAAAAATATTTTTATATATATAAAATGGCGATAGTAATTGTCATTCACTAGTTAATCTTACATTATTTTTCAATCTTTACTCTTAACTCCACTGGTGGGGTGCCATGTGTCCATTATGGACACCATTATGGCATCCCTAATGTACTTGTAGTATTTCCTAAAAAATAATGTATTTTCTAACGTTAAGAGTAAAGATTGAAAAATAATGTAAGATTAACTAGTGAATGACAATTACTATCGCTATTTTATATCCACTGGTGGGGTGCCATGTGTCCATTATGGACATCATTATGGCACCCCTAATGTACAAGAAGTATTATCTTATTTTTTTTCCCTTTTTCATCTATTTTCTTACTAAGTTAGATCTAGATCATAATGAAGGCTAGGAAAAGAAAACGCATTCTTGACTATACATGCAAATGTGACTATATTTACAGTTTTACGAATCACAGCAAGAATACAATGAGGGCTAAAGGGCCAGGTAAAAACTGGAAGAAAATGAAAACTGATACCTAAATAAGTAAGCGATTATTCAAATTTTAAATAAAATCATAGGTCAACAATTTAATTTTTTTTTATGAAAATCCAGCTAATTTTTCATTTTTTTTGTCATCGGGACGATATTTGACCGGTCTAATAGACTGATTTAGACCTAATTGATCATCAGGAAGGTTCGAGTTTAAAACACTAAATTAGGGGTGTCCAAAAGTCCCGAACCGAACCGGACCGAACCGAACCCGAACCGAATCGAGAGGTTCTTCGTAAATTAAATACCCGAACGGGTACCCGAATCAAGAACCAATAAGTTTGGGTCGGGTCTCGAGTTTAGGCCAAGAACCGAATAAACGAATAAGAACCGAAACTAAATAATTTTTTTATTTTTTATATTGAATTAATTAAATTATTTTATTTTTTCTAAACAAATTAGCAAATTAATTAAATAAATCAGATTATTTCATAATTTTAATTTTAAAACCCAAATCATTTTTAAAACCCATTAGCTCATTTTAATTTGAAGCAAATGAATATATTTTATGTAGTGCTGCTGTAATATTAATATCTACTTTTTCGTATTTGTATGCATTGAATTAATCTTATTGGACGGCTAGTTATTTATATGTTTTTGAATTGGGCTACGTTAAATTGTAAAAGTTACGAATGAAATGTCATTAATTGTATTTATGTAGTGTTGCTGTAAATATTAAAAAATTTAATTAGGTACGGAACCGAACGGACCCGAACCGATCCGAACCGAACCCGAACAGTTCCATAATTATATTTGGACCCTACGATTCCATTTATTAAATACCCGAAAGTTTTGGGTCGGTTCGGGTCTCTTCAGAACCGAACCGAATCGAACCGACCCACAGACAGCCCTACACTAAATCGTCCTCAATCTAGTGTGATCCATATTTTACATTTTATTTATACAACAAATGTGGGCTAGGATGATCTTCAACAAACTGAACATATATCGATGAAGGTGCATATATTCAATGAAAGACACGATATAAAAGACACCAGGACAGCAAAAAAATTCGTTCAACCCGATAGCCCCATGGAGTCCAATCCCAAATGGGAAGGGGATTATCCGCATAAACGGAGCAGAAGTCATTGTCCCAAAACGGGTACAGGAAATATAGTCATCGCCCCACTACCCGTCTCGTTTAAAGTTAATTTCAAATTAAGTTTTTTATCAAACAAAAATAATAGATTTATCATCATTTTTAAAGATAACATAATTTATTTTTAACAAACTAAAATAATAATAATAATATTTACTAAAGATATAAATAAATAAATAAAAATAAATAGGGACGATAAATGGGGCAGGTCGCCGAATCCGTCTCATCCCGCTTTAACAGGATGTGAGGATGGGATAAAATAACAAAAATACTCGATGGGACGAGAGTGAAAATGACAGACCCCTCTCATACCCGCTCTATTGTCATCTCTTGGTATGGGGTCACGTGACTCTCAACTTTTGAGTAATTATTATTTTTATTTTTATGGGATCTTTATGGAATGTTAAAAAAAAAAAAATCAAAATATTGCACCTTTAATATCATTTTAAAGTTTTCAAGTCCTAGTTTCCCATGTCATTAACAATGTGCGAAATGGCCAATCATATAAAATGTTACGGCGTGTCAAAGTAGATCGTTACATATTATTATTTCGAGATTTTTGATAACATGTTAACTTTAAAAATTTTCCGACGATAGTACACTTATCGAATTCACAAATCACTTAGGTCATCTCAAAACTCGTATCGAGGACTATATCATACACATATTGAATGATTCAAACAAACATCGAAAATAGTTAAATGTGTTTCAAACATACGTCTTAAAAAAGACGTTTAATTTGAATTTTTTTAAAAAAAAATTCAATTATTTTTTAAATGGTTATTATTTTTGTGTAATAAATTTCCTTATATAATTTACATCATTTCATCTAATTAGAAATTTTTACGTGTAAAAAATTTCAAAATTTTACATCTGAAAAAGTCAATCTTGTATTATAAATTTTCGAATGTAAATTTATAGAATATGGCCTTTTTGGATGTGAAATCCTTCACATTTTTTCAAAAATTTGATTGTCATCCAAATTCAAAATGTTTGCATTCAAATATTTTCTATGATAAAATGCAAGCAAGCAAATATACTTTTTATGGAATTGGAAAAAAATTGTTAGCTTAAGAAAAATCGATTTCCATTTTTCTTTTTCTTTTTCTTTTTTTAATATAAAATTTGCAATTGCTACTTTTTGCTTATCGACGTATTTTCAGCGGATACCATATTAAGCGCATAAAGGAACGTCAATTATTCCTCAAAACTTTGTTGTCATAACGTCCTGAATTTCACTAACCTATTTTTGTTGTCCCACCAATTGTTTCTTGAACGTTAATTGTATGGTCCCTTTAGGTTTTTAACATCGTTAAGACTTAAAAATCTACACCTATACGCCAGAAAAATTATGTTTCCACTCCACTAATACCAAGCACCAATCTATATTCAATGTATAAAATGCACCATAACTTTATCAGGCAATACAGTGCTGACGACTATACTACATAAATCAGTACTAAGCACATAGCATCAATCAATCACAAACCTGCAATCCATAACTTTTTTATTTTTTTCTATTTTTCATCACATTATATGCTATAAACCTTGTAAACAGTAAGAAGATTTTAAACAATATCAAAACGAAATTCAAAATTCACTTTTAATTGCAGAACATTTTATATATCCCATTTGTTGAACCCTCAAAAGAATCATATTCGAACTCGATGAAGTTCTCAATTTTGCAAACCCAAAAATACTTATATTGGTGTGTGCAATATAAATATAAGTGTCAAAAATATATCGATGGGACAGCTAATTCCAACTTTATGTGCAAACATTTTCTGTGGATGCTGAATATCAGAACTGAATATAAAACCGCTCATTATCGAAAAAAAAAATATAATTTCATTGGAAAATCCAAAATCAAATCCAGAAAGAGAGTCTATAGCAGAAATGGGAAAACTTAAACAATAAACATCAGGACAGGTCATTTTTGTGAACAAGAATAGGTAGGCAGAGGAGTATCATTCATATCTTAGTCACTCCTCTCTCATAAACCCTTCAGTAAAACAGGATTATAGAGATATACATTATCCAAAGAAACAAGTTCAAGCAAACATTTAAAGGCCACGCCAAAGTTCAAGTCGCTGATTGCTACTTGTACAAACGAGGCCATACAAGCCCGGCAACAAATATAGATATACCAACAGGAAAAACACATTATGCAGCAATTGGGTCACTCTTGAGACTTATCTGTTTCCATGGGCTCCGTGGATGATGCTTCATTTCTAGATTCATTGGTGTTCTGGGCAGGGCTAGAGTTAGGGTTCTCTGCCCCCTGAGATTGGGACTCGCCTCCTTCAGATGGTGCTGGTGAGGCTGCTTCAGGAGTAGCTGGCTTCACCGGCTTTGGCTTTGTCATTATTGGCCTGCAAAACCTGTCAACGCAAGTCGCATTTTCACTAAAGACCCAATAGTTTGTAATGTATTAATAGTAATTATTAGAACAAAAACAAACAGTAGTGCTAGCAAGCTATTTAGCTAGCATCTTCCCCACCATGTCGCAAAGACACAAAAATAGCATTTATATGGCAAAACCACAACTCTAATATAAAATGGCTCATAATTACTGGACAATTAAATGAAAGAATACCTATCAAGAGCTTCAGCTTTTTTCCTGACATCAGCAGACAAAAGAACTGGCGTTGCAAACTTTGGAAGTGCATCCTGCTGCTGCTTTTTCTCTCTCAGCCAAGCCTCAGCTTCGACGCAATCATTCAAAACCTGGGAAAGGAATATAAAGTAAATCGCAATCCATTAACAGTTGCAACCACACAAGCCTACTTCTGAGGAGGAAGGAGAGTGCACCAGAGAGGATACCTTTTGCTTATCTGCCATATCAATGTGATCAAATTTTGGATCATTCGACATTGCAGCCTCTCTGTAACTGTTGATGCAATAAATAAATTGATCAATTACAGGTCCCCTCTCCATATGCTCCTTGTATCGCTCCTCTATGGGGTCACCTTGCTGCAGGATATTTGACATATACTTAAAACGATGTCCTATAGAGGTCAGAAATCAAAGAGGCGGTGATCACTAACAAACAAACACACAAGACTACCTTCTTGAGTTCCTCCAGCTTAGCAATATAGACACCTTTGGTTTCATCCTCGCCATCCTCATACAACCAATCTTCCACCTCTTGGAGTTTAGCCATCAACTGTTCTCTCTCTGAATCCACTACAAACTCTTGATATTTGTCTGTAAGCTACAGAACCAATAGAACTGTCAATACTTTTTATCTTTTAATAATGAGTTTCAATATCCCATGGTTAAAGTTCTGGCATAACAACACTACTAAAACATACCTTATTCCGCATGTCATAAACATAAGCTTCCACAGCATTCTTTTTGTCCTTTGTTTCTTCCATAATACGGTCCTGCAAAGCCATCTCGAATTCCTTCTCCACTGCCTTCTGCACCTCTTCAGCTCCCATTCCTCCATACACAAGTTCTGAAACAGGCACACTAGTTCTCTTAACCTTTTTCTTGGGCACCTCCGCCTGATGAACATAAACAAAGGGGAAACCCTGAGTTAGAACTCGACAAACAAAGTCAAAAATGTGACCACTGCATTGATATACTCGTATAAATCAACTCTGTAAAGTCAGGAGATTCCGAACAAATAGTTATGACACGTATAGAGCAAACCTACCACTAGAAAATATGTAACATTTCATTTAAGATATAGTTTATATTCCTAACAAAACATTAAATAATAACCAATCCTGGCCAATGGCAAAGCCAGTTTCTTTTTTGTTTGGGGTTGGGGGTGGCAAGATTAAACTAGGGAAAATTTTCAAACAAAAATATTAAACTTGTTACAACATTTTAATTGTTCTCCCCATAAATTTGTATACTATGAAATCTTTGCATAATGACCTAATTTATAATTTTACTGATTACAATTTAATAAAAAAAAATTTTACCAAACTTTGTTCACCAATCAAACAAAGCGAATTCACTCTAATTTATAGTAAAATACACTTAAATTAAAATCAAACAGAGCTATACAAGTCTCATCAAATTAAATATGCTAAAATTCTATGATACAATTCATACAATGAAATTCTATAATTCACTGAAATTAAAATCAAACATAGCTACACAATCTCATCAAATTAAACATGCTAAAATTCTAATGATACAATTTATACAATCAAATTCTATAATTCACTGAAATTAACCAATTCTAGAGAAAACTAACTATTAATCCTAAAACATAAAACAAAGAAATTAAAACTAACCTATTCAGCATGCTATAACAATATTAACAAGTATAGCCCCTGTTTTGTTTGGATTAAAATATCAAGTCAAAGCACAATTAATTTTAAACACAACCCAACAACTTTTCATCAACGTATTTCATCAACATTTATTAAAATCTGCTAAAAATCTAATTTTAATCGGCATCAAACATCGCATAATGTTCACTATGCAGGTATGGGTTAGTTGGAGACCCGTAGTTACATTTTGATTGCATACTTTGAAGTTTTAAATGTTCAAAAGGAAAAGAGTAAATATATAACTTAAAATATAATAAAAAATGAAAACCTCAAAATCCAGTGGGGGCCAGGACCCCCACCAATCATGCAAACAACTAAGAAGCAAAAACCCGCACGCCATCTACACACTGACTACGCATCAAAGGAACGATGATTAAAAATAATTTTGAATTAATTATTGTCATTGCTATTTATTAATAGTGTAAAGCAAATAGAGAAATGGATATGAACTTTGAGGAAGAAAACAGTAAAAACACACAATCAAGATTTCTTACGAAGAAGGTAAATGTTAAGGGTAAAAAAATAAACAAAAAGAGAGGAGAAGTATACGCTCACTGGCCAAACATTTATGTTCAGTAGAATGGGCCATCAATTTTGAAAAAGAAAATGCACATATATATTCTATATTTAATGCGCCAAACCTTCTTTAAACCCAATAAAAGGAGAAACCCAAATTAGAAGGCCTGATACCCAACTTCACACAAAGCACAAACTACTCGACCGTCAGCCATCTCAGGAAACCCTAATCTTGCAAAACTCAATGTCAGTGATATCCTTCCAGCACAGTTGCCAAACCCTTGGATGCTCTCCCCTTCCCCTAAGGTTAGTATAATTTGTTCTTTTCTGTTACCATTATTTTGAAATGGATATGTCATGTCGGTGCCTTCGTAGAAAATAAAAAGGACATGCCACAATGTTGTCACTGATACATATCAAACACCAAAGCTCAAGCACCAGTGGCGTCAGTGCTTCTCAGAACTATATATCCAACCAATGGCGTCAGTGACTTAGTACAAATATAAAAGAATTTCACAGTTCTCAAACCGAACCGAACATTGACCCAGCTAAGTCACTGAGTCATCAGGCAAGCGGTCAGGCAGGTAGATCATTGGCGGACTTGTAAGTCATTATCAACACCTTTGAATTTCTTGAAAATTTTAGTTGAACTCCTTGAATCATTTACTTGTTCTTTTTATTAAAATTAAAAATGGAATGTTGTCGATAAAAATATTGAATTTTTTCACGTGAAATATATTAATATTAACAAAAATATTCTCAGTTTTTCAGATAGAATTAGAAAATTATATTTGTTAAACTTCTGTGTAATTGATTAATTTGTCGTTTGGAATGTCTGAAAGGCTTATACATGTTTGGTTATGTTTTTGTTCAACATAAAGCTGTAGCCTCCTGGTTCAAAGCTTCTGCCATATACAGGAGGTTGTGCCTGTGGGATCAAAAATCCACTACGTGAAATTTCAGAAAATTTCAGCAAATCAGAGGGTTAAACCAAACCAGTTCGCCAGTTATATATCAAACCCATCCGATTCAATAACAATTCGATGGATGATCGGTCCCCATATACCAACTGGACCGGACCAGGGTCAGTCCTGGCCTGGTTTATTTAACTATGAAAGGATCCAGTACATACCCTCTCTACCTCTCTCTCCTCTCAGAAAGAGAACAAATGAGACAATATAAAACCCAAGAATAGAAAACACTACGCATGAAAAACAGGCATGTTAACAACATGATAATAAGAGATTGTGTGCAGCTTGCCTATAAAATTCAGCAGCCTATAATACAACCATATTTTCTGATTGTACCGTTCATAAAGTCCAAACATACATCATACATGACAAATAAAGAGTTCAACTCTAGATTGCTAGGGTCCGTTTTCTTTCACAATATTTTCTTACATGTCAAGTTGGACAACCTTCCATTATAGCATGGTGGCATTGAAGTTAGTAAAACTAGAAAACAACATGTATACACATCTCTTCAAGAGAAATAAAATACACGACATGCACACACACAGAGAGGGGGGGGGGGTTGGCCCATGGAAAAGGGAATTTACAAGCCTACAGCAATCGAGGAAAATGTGAAAAGAAGCAAAAATTCAGACCAGTTATTAGGACAAGAAATCATAAACTCAGGAAAATACAGACAAAACTACTACTCTGATAGTCATTGTTAACTCACCTTAGTGTCTGTTTCCATCTGAACGGGCTTATCCCCTGACTCGGGAACGCCATTTTCAGCTCCAGGGGCTTCAGTTTTAGCATCTTGCATATTTACATCGGTTTCAGTAGCACTCGGTGGCACAGAATCAGCAGGAGCCTCATTTGTTTCCATCTTGGTCGGTTTCTCCACTGACTCTTTTACAACTGGCACTTCCACCTCTTCCTCTTCCAAAATCTGATACAAATATCAAGAAACATCGGTTACATCCAAAATATTTGGATTGGCACGATCATAAATAAAAAGTTCAAAGATCATTCAAGAGATAACTTACAGTAGCTGACTCAACAGAGACAATTCCATGAAGATTTAGGCGTATTTTGACCTTCAGTTTCAACCTTTCACCATTCGTGGATTGGAAAGGTCCAATCTTGAGCACAAAAGGATAAAAATAAAAAAGGGGCTGTGTCAGGCAGATACAAAAAAATTGTCCAAGCTATCCGGTAAACAAATTGAATGGATCTTACAGGCATGCACATATAAATTACCGTGTAAGTGCTAATCTTAGACGGTGCCTGCAATTCGCTAACATCAGCATATTGAACGTCGATTGTGAAAGTACCAGATCTGTAGAATGTAAGAGCCTTCATACTTGGTATCGGATTACCCTTGGGGAACACAACGGTGATCTGCTGGTTATCCATGGCTCCATTCTGTGCATCAGGAGCAGAGCCTTTCCATGACAAGGCAATGGGGAATGGGAAGCTCTCATTGACCTACAAAGAAAATGTTGACCAGATCTTAATCCAGATGTCACGTAGTAATCTCCCCTAAGTTTGGACAGAAAGATGGCACGGCACAAAAAGTCCTAAAATAAATTTATCTAAAATCTTTATGAAGAAATAGTAAAAGAGATGCATCAGTCCCCTAATGAATCTCTGTAATGCACTGTTAGATATATTCCCAGGTTGCCTGTTAGCCTCTTTCTTCCCAAGATATTAAAAATAGAAAGAACACATGCAACATTAGGCAGCTGTAAGGCACATTTTCTAGGACTGCTACTCCTAACCACTATCTCCATCTCTATCACAAAATAGCACAGTTTGAACAGATTCACATTTTAAATGGATTTAGAAATCCGAAGGTGTCAACCATCACGGAAGATTCGCACCCTTTGATGTTTTATCTTTTTTCTTAATAACCAAACGTCAGCTTCCAAGTGCTTTTTTGTGTGTGTGTGTGTGTGAGAGAGAGAGAGAGAGCTCAAAGGCCTAGCGACTATTATGGTAATATGCATTAAGGGCCCAAACATGAAAGTTGTGGTATCAATTAAAAGAATCATTACCTGAAACTCGCGCACTTTAAATGTGGGACTAAGAATAGCACACTCTAAAGCACATCCTTTGGCAACACTTTCACTAGCATTCATTGTACGTCTGGGCTCCTTCCCAAAAAACTCAGTCAATATCTTCATAATAGCAGGAACTCGAGAGCCTGAACCAACAACCTCAACTGTATGAATATTCTCAACAGTAAGTCCAGCTTCTGCAAGAGCCTTCTCCAATGGTTTCTTAACACGCTCCAATATTGGAACACTAATTTGCTCAAATTCCTCTCTCTTAATGTAACCCCTAACATCCTTCTCATCCATCAAGCACTCAATGTTCAAAGGTGCCACGGGATTTGCACTGAGAACCTTTTTCAACTTCTCACAAGCTGCACGAAGCCTGAGGCAAGCCCTGGCATTCTGGAAGACATCAATCTTGTATTCCTCCTTGAACTTTGCAGCAAAGTGCTGGAAAATAACTTCATCAAAATCCCTCCCACCAAGGGACCTGTCAAAAGAATGGGCTAATATTTTCAGCTGACCTTTCTTTAGCGCAGCAATACAAACTTGCATACTTCCGTGCCCCACATCAACAAAAGCAACATGTAACGGGTCATTCTCAGGTAAGTCAGTCTTGTAAATACCATAAGCTAAAGCGGTAGCAGTAGTCTCGTGAATAAGTCTGAGAGGGTGCAAACCAGCTATTGCTGCAGCAGCTATGACAGCTCTTCTCTGAAGGTCCGTGAAATAAACGGGTATCCCAATGCAGCAATCTACAACTGCTGCTTTCAAATTCTTTTCGGCAATACTCTTCAAATCAGATAGAACCATTCCCAATACCTGGGTAGGCGTAAAAGTCCTCATTTCTCCCAAATAACGTGCATGGATCAAAGGATATCCATCAGGACCTTCGGTCACAGAAAAGGGTAAGGCCTTAAGATCCTGCTGCAGCTCAGGATCTGAAAACTGGCGTCCAATCAACCTCTTTATTTGGGATATTGTATTTTTGGGATTCATCATGCTCGATGCGGATCCTGCTGTTCCAAGGAATCTCTGCTTGTCACCAAAGCATACAACAGCAGGAGTCTCACGCTTGGACTCATCATTAAGAACGACATCAATACCTCTTTGCCTTGCAACAGCAACCACACAGCTCTCATTCCCAAAGTCAAAACCCACCACACTCATGTTTGCTAGACTGGGCAAAGTTGCAGCAAGAGCACCTCAAATTCAACAAATACCTAACGACCTGATGATCAAAAAGCCACATTTAATGTTCATCAAACTCATCCAGTCATCCTTTCTATGTAGGACGAAGGCAACCAAAAAAAAAAAAAACTACCACCACCCAAGTCATTTTCCTAATATCTATGTAACAACATCACATAGGTGCTTATACATCATATCAGTGATGACAAGTAAAGATAACAACTTGACAATAATATAAAAGCAAGAAAATTCAGAGAGCTTTGAATGTAAAGATAGTATAACTAGATACACTCTTCATCGCATATTCGTATTCAACCTCAATCTAGTTAGGGCATCTCCAACCTTGCACTAAATTCGTATACCAATTTAGTGCAAAAGTCCACTCAAATGGTACATTAAAACACTTTGGTGTAATTCCATTATTCCTATTTTGTCCTTCATTTTATATCATAAAAAATTTTCATTCCTATTATATACATTTTACAGCCTTTCATTATTTAATGATTCGACTTTATCTATATTTATTTAATTTAATTATTATTTGTAATTAACATTATACTAAATCGTAATTTATTTAATTGTCTTATTAAGTGTAATGCTTTTTTTAATTTATTAAAATGCAAATGATTTTTAATTTAATAATATTAGTAGTAACATAATTTCTAATTAAATAATTTCTAAAGTAAACTAACTGTTGACAAATAAAAAAATAAGGAAACGCTGTTTCATTTGGTGCAATATTTGGTGTAATAGTTGAAAATGACTGCAAAATGCTGCGAAAGTTGCACCATCTGGTGCGCACGGTTGGAGATGACTTTATTACATCGTGGTCCATTTTGACTCCATGCATTGCAAGGTTGAAGATTGCAGTGTTAAAAACATCACTAAAGCAGTTAAAGTCGGCAACTGCCTCACACTTATTCTGCCGCACATTTATTGTTACATGTATGGATTGACATGAACAGAACAGTGAAGTTAAGGTCATATTAAACAAAAACCAATTATTCCCTTGTTTACACCAATTTCATTATTTTATTCTAACAAAATAATACCAAACGGGTTAAAATTAAGAAATTTCTAAAGTAGCACCAAATCAACAAGAAAATAAACCTAGTAGAAGGCAATGTGCCTGCTCTCTTCACAACCAAACCCATTAAATTGATTCAAAAAATAAAAAAGGAGAGAAAAAAACAAATCTAGAATTGGCACGTGTGTGTAATTTGAAATCAATAACAAATGAAGTAACTTACCAGATCGAAAATAAAAACGTAGACTATTAGATCTGATATTTCTACATAGAGAAAAGAAGAAATCGAGATTCAAAAGAAACAGTACCTCAGAATAGATCGAGTGCACCGCAGCGTAAGAGATGATTTTCTAGAATTCTCTTCCGATTTGTAAGAGGAAAAAGAAAAACTCTCAATTTTCAAGTTGTTCGAATGTGTGTGGTTCTGTGGAGAAAATTCGAGCGAGTACTTATATGGAGTGTGTATGCACTGTCTGGGCCGCTTCTAGAAAGATCTTCCTGTTGTGAGAATTCTTTCGCATGTGGGCTTCTCCGGTCATGGACCTATGGCCCATGGCTTTTGAAAAAATAATTTTCTAAAACACAAAAACATGAACTGTATTATGAAGATGACTATAGAAAACTAGAAATATAATCAATCCAGCGAATATTTAGCCCGGTTTGATGGTCATTATTTTTAAAAATGATATTTTAAATAGTGAATTTTTTAAGAATGTGCCATTAGAAAGTGGGAAAAAAATTTGAATTTATGCGAATATGGGTTGAAAATAAATATGACAATTAAAGAGTTTTATTTTCAAGAAAAATAAACATGGGCTTATTGAGAAAGAAATAGTTGGAAGAGATTAGTGACGGGGTAATCAGACAAGAAACACTACGAACGGGAACAATTATTAGGGGTTTAGTGTCACCTGCCAACTATACAATGTAATCAAGGAGTACTGTAATCTAGGCTGGTGGTGATCACAACTAATAATAAATAGAACTAATCAAAGTTTTTAAGATTCACCAAGCATGCATTGATAAGTTAAGGCGAGTAGCACTTAATATGAACTTTTTTCGTTGCATTTTTATCTTTAATCCTTAATTAACTAGTGCATTTTGTTCCTAATGATGACTTTTGTCCAAGTATTTCATTAGCTTTGAAATAGAAGCAAATATTTTGTATGTGCTTGATTTTTAGTTTTGATCGAATTGATTATTTATTAGGATTTAATGTATTCGGGTACCAAATTTAGCTCATATTTGAGCTTCATTCTCTAAAACTCATTTTTTCCAAATTTATTTTAAACTATACATTATCACAACAAAATAATTTTTCACGTAAAATTACAATTTTTTACTACTTTTTTACAAAATCTATTATCAAATAATGGGGCTCAAACAATGACTAAAACTTAGGAATTGAGGATTGAAAGAAGATCTTTCTAATTGCATGATATGTCAACAAAATGATTTTGCATATATTATTTTGAAAGGGTAATTAGTACATAACATCCACACATTTTACTATTATTGTGAAAAACGTCATTATCTTTTATTTTTTGACATTTTCATAGTTCCAAATTTTTAAATATGAAAATATATTCATCATTTCACAACTTTTTATTGAGAAATTAGATGAAAATGAATGAGGGTAAAAATGCTAAAAAAAAAAAAAAAATGNATAAATTTTAATTGAGAAAATGGATAAAAATGAACTTTTGCTCAATAAAAGGTGAAAATGCCAAAAAATGAAATGTGATGACATTTTTAACAATAACAGTGAAAGATGAGGACGTTATGTGCTAATTACCTTATTTTGAAAGTAGCCCAAGCTCCCTAAAAAATTTGGGTGGAGGCTATGAGCGAGCGAATTGATGGTGGGCGATAATGATTGAATCATCGTGTTTTGCCCTTGTTTGATATCTTTTTTTTCTCATTCTCTTTCTCATTTTTTTTTCTCTTTCTTCATTTCAAACACATATTTTATTAATAAAATAATATTACATATAAACTCAAAAAAATTTCTTATTTTTTAACCACACATTCTTCCATTAATCACTATTTCAAATCAAATTCTTTTCCAAAATAGGTGTCAAACACTTCCATTAACAGAATTTGATCCTTGTTATCCAAAACGAAAAATCAGGGTTTGAATGGTTTCATCAGTTAGTGTTGCTCGAGGACAATTGTGTGATTCATTAAAAAAATAGGGTAATTTTTTTTTTATTTTTTTATTTTTTTTTTTTGCACCACGTTCTAATTGTATTTAAGGTTATTGATCTTTCATCATTATAGCACTTAATTCCCTAAAGATTTTTCATATCAATCTTATTCTCAAACTTTCCATTAGTTAACACATTTTGTATCTGATAACAGTTTTATGTACAAATGTCCGTTGGAATGGAGTAAATTTTTTTACCTCATTTCAAAGTATGAAAATAAAATATTTTGATTTAAATTATTATGAACGACGAAACGTATTAATTGAAGATAAGAATTCGATAGAAAAATTTAAGAAAATAATTGCTACAATGAAAAAAGATTGAAAATTTTTACAGCAATTAAAATATAATGTATCAAATAAAAATTATTGTGACAACATAACCACAAAAAAAAAGAAGAAGAAGAAGAAAACTTAAAAGGATCATAATCAACAAGTGGTGTTTTAAAAAGCGTAAAGCGTGACTAGGCGTGGAGTCGAAGATTCAAGTTTCATGAGTTTAAACGAGCCTATGCGAAATTTAGGCGTAAAAATGTGTTTTCTTATTTTTAATATTATTTAAAAAATTTAATCATATTAAAAGTTATTTAATAATTAAAATAATTCTTATCAAATATCTAGAATTATAAAATACTATATTTACTTAATAATTCGTACAATTAGTCAATTATACAATTTTCAAATTTTCGAAATGCAAAAAGTGGATTATTTTTCATAGTTTCAATTTTCAACTAGAGAAGTTATACTAAATAGATTTATAGGAATTTCATACACGTTGACGAAGTTTTCAACAAAATAACGAGTCTCAATATCATAATCACATAATGTAGATAGCACCACAGTTTAAATCTTATTTAACTGTTTGTCGGATAAAGTTATTTTTAACTTTTGCATTGATGAAGTCATTAAAAAACTTGAAACTAAAGTCCAATGAATTTTTTTTAAATAAATAAACTAAAATCAAATAAAAGACTTTTAATAAAGGAAAAAGATAAAAAAAAAATTAATAAAGCGCTCCTAAAGAAGACGAAAGAGAGGAATTGGGGAAGGAAAAAATTTATTCGTTTAGGAATTGGCAAAAAAAAAAGCCAAAGCCGGTTTTTTGCACGAGCTTTGAACTTTGGCGGTGCCTAGGCTGCCTTTTTAGAATACTATCAACGAAGGTACAGAATTGAAGATGCCAAGAGAGATAATTTATGTTCGCTTAACTTGAGATGAACTTGAGAGGAAATATCAATGTAGAAAATTATGAGAATGAAGAAGAAAATAGGTTGAGGCTAAGGTAAGTGGTCAGCTGGTCGAAAAACAAAGAACTGACAAAGGCGGTGCCATCGTTTCAGTTAAGAGCGACGGTTGTGATGATGTCGTCGGTGAGGGGACGACGATGGCGGTGCCAAAGAAAGTGCCCACGTCGGTGCCATCGATGGTTGAGAAATTTGTTTGGACAACCATGGTTGCTAATACGGAATCAATGATTTTTTTCCTATGAGTTGAGATTTGATGAAAAACACAACCCTTTCAGGTTAGTATATATTTTTATTATTATTCTATATGGGATTTATTGACTCGCGTAAGTGAGGAATGGTACGGGAACCGAAATATTCGGCCAGCAGAGACTGGGAATGGAACCCCATTCCGTTGCCATTCCTAAATATCACGATCAAAAGTGGTTTGATTATTATTATTATTAGATGATTTAAATCTTAATATGTTGTTTGTGCATATAGTTGAATTGAACGTTATTTT